CACTCTTTCAAGTAGAACTAACCATAAGACTTAATCTGGCTTCCCCCATAAGTGAGAATAAAAATGTATTTCTTCTCAGTGGTAAAGTCCTAAATTTCTCTTAAAAAGTAATTACGAGTTTGCGGTTTCTTTTGGGTGTGATGAAAATGTTCTAACATCGACTGTGGTGATGGTTGTAGAACTCTGTAAAAACACTAAATATTACTCAATTGCACATTTAAACTGATTAATTGTATTGAGTATGAATTATATCTCAATAAAGCTGCCATTTATTCAAAGTAAAAAAAATCAATTGTTACTCACCATATTAACAAACTAAAAAAGAAAAATATGATTATATCAAAAGGGGAAAACAAAGACACGTGACAAAATTCGACATCTATTTCTGATTTAAAAAATACTCAGCAAACTAGGAATATAAGGGAAATTCAATAAGATAATGAAGATTTATGATAACTCTACAGCTAACATCCTATGTAATAGTGAAAAAACTGAATTCTTTCCCCAAAGGATCAGAAACAAGATGGGAATAACTGCTTTTATTCTTTCTTTCTACTCAGCACTATACTATAGATTCTAGCCAGTGCAATTAGGCAAGATAAAGAAACAAAAGACATCCTTCTGGAAAAGGAAGAACAAAAACTGTCTCTATTAGCAGACAACATGATCACATAATAGGAATCAGCAATTTCCAACCAGCTCATTTTAGTAAATACTGTTTGACCAAATTACAGTCATGTCCATTAATTTATGTACTGTCTATGGCTATTCTCATGGTACAATAGCAGAGATGATTAGTTGTGACAGAGAAAGTATTGGCCACGAGTCTTAAATGCTTACTATGTTAGTAAAACAGTAATTTAAGAAAGAAAGATTGACAACCTTCGGTTATATTAGAAAATCTGATAGAATCTACAAAAAAGCTACTAGAACTAATAAATGAGTTCAGGAAAATTGAAGAATACAACATCACTATGTAAAAATCAATTGTATTTCTATATACCAGCAGGGAACAATCAGAAATTAAAATTTAAGATACATCATTTACTGCATTGAAAAAGTAAAAAAAAGGGTGATCTCACAAAAGTTGGAAAGATCTATACACTAAAAAGTACAAAATTTTACTAAGAAAATTAAAGAAGAGCTATATAAATGGAAGCATATAGTTTGCTCAGGGATTGAAAGTTCAACATTGTTAAGAAGCGAATTCTCCCCTAAATTAATCTGTAGGGTCAACAATCAAAATTTAATTTTGAAAACACCAGCAGACTTTCTTTTCGAAAATTGATAAACTGATTTACATTCATGTGGAAAAATCTAGAAGAGCAACATAACCGTGAAAAAGAAGAAAATTGTAGGACTAACCCTACCTGATTGCAAAAACTATTATAAACCTAGTCATTAAAGCAGCATGCAGCTGGTGTAAATATGACCAAATGCATCAATGGGACAGAACAGAGTCCAGAAATAAACATGCACATATATGGTCAACTGATTTTGACAAAGGCACAATGGCATGAGTGGGGAAAATGGAGTCTGTTCAACAATTGGTGCTGGAACAACTGCATATCCATATACAAAAGAATGAACTTGGATCCATACTATGCATCATATATAAAAGAGAACACAAAATGGATCATAGATCTAAATGGAAGACCTATCATCATAAAAGTTCTACAAAAAAACATAGGAGAAAATCTTTGTGACCTTGTGCTAGGCAAAGATTTCTTAGATATGAACACCAAAAGCAAAATTCATAATAGAACAAATGGATAAATCGGATTTCATCAAAGGAAAAAAACAAAACAAAACAAAAAACCTTCCATTCTACTTAGTTATTAGGAAAATGTATACTAAAACCATAATTATATACACATGATACAGCCATCAGAATGGCTAAGATCTTAAAAACTGACCATCCTAAATGTTCATGAAGATATGAAGGAATTGGAACTGCCATGTACTGCTGGTGAATGAAAAATGGTACAACTATTTTAGAAAACCATTAGGCAGTCTCTTAATAAGGGATATAAAGGAACGTGAGGAGACTTTTAGAAGTGATGAGTAGGTTAACTATCTGGATTCTGGTGATAGATTCATGTATGTATAGTAAAAACTATCAAAATATATGCTTCTTATATGTGTAGTTTACCTAACCAAAGCTGCTGAAGACAAAAGCCCTATAACAGGAAAAAGTCTATCAGACACTAGCTGAGACATGGCCAGAAAGAAGGTTGTGAAATGATACAAATGAAATATAGAGAGTTGTGGCCTTTAATCTTGCTTGTAGCAAAGAGAAGTAATAGTTGGGTTTTAAGCAAGGTGGTAACACGTTGAGATCCAAAATTTTTTAAATATATCATAATGCTGCTTGCAATGTAGACCAAGGTTCCAGGAGGTGGAATGTCAGGGAAAACAGTTCTGAGGTTATTTCAGTATTCTAGGAAGGAAATCATCAAAACTCGACATTGGGTGAAGGCGTAGGAGAGAAGCGGGGTCAACAAACACAATAAGCGCTGCCATTTACACTGAGAAAAGTACAGTGGAGATGGTCACAGCTTCCAGGCTGAGGGCCTGCAACCACTCTCATTTTATTTTAAGAGAAAACATGTTTCTCAGATAAACAGTACTACAACACATCAGTGATTTACGGTGCAGTAATAGACAAGGTGTGCCTGTATTACCACCAAGTACGTACCAAGGCTTTATATTTATACTATGATCTTACCTTTACAATCCGTGCCAAGTTGTTCAAGTAGCAACATGGAATTCTGATAATTGGAGTAAGGTAACTCACAATGCTCTGAAACTATTTCAGAAGACTGAGTTAAATCATCTACGTCATCCACAGAATGAATTTGCTCTTGGACCTAAAAATAAATAATACTGTTTTTCAAAATGTCCACAAAATCTTTATAAAATATATTAAGCGTACGGAGGTGATAAATATCCATCTTTTTATAAAAGCAAAAACACAGGTTTTCTTAAAAGAACTGATTTTTCACAAAAAGGGAGCTTTATCAAAAACAAATGTTTCTAAAGTACTTTTTCAAAAAATGTGTGTACAATAAAGGAAGATTTTTTATTTTTTCACTATATCTTTTACAGAGTATATTTTACTACAGACATTTTTGAATATTTATTTTTTACAATACCTTGTTAACTTCATTAGAATTTTTCTTTGCAGACCTAAAAAAAAAAATAAACAATTCTTTTCAGGTGAATATTAAATACTTAAAATACAAAGAATATCTAAACCTATTGCTTTTTCTATAATATCTCTGCATTTGTAATTAATTTTTTTAATGGGGTTAGACAATAAATAGAAAGAATAACTAACATTAAGGGACACAGAAAATATACTACTAATAATATTAACACAAAGTGTTAAATTTAGATCAAGCTGACAGACAAAACAAAAAAAAGAAAAATATAATGGTTGTTACTTGCATTATTTGATAGAAAGAAATAATATACCAAGGTTTTTTATTGTTATTTTCAATTAAAAAAAAGATTTTACTGGCATTAAGATTTATTTGGAAAGTATTGCTTAAGTCATTATATAAAGGAAACTCTTTTTAAAATAATAATGATATTAGATTTTGAGGACCCACCAGGCAACTACTATGCAATATTATAGGTACTTTACATGTTTTAAGGGCATTTTAATTCTTAAAAAATTCTGAGAGGTAGGCAATAGAATAGGTATTTTACACAGGAAGAAAATAAGGCACAGAAAATCTAAGTAACTTATCCAAGTCCATACAGCTGGTCAATAGTAGACCCAGAGTTCAAACCCCGCACACCTGGCTTCAAAACATGTGTTTCACAATATACTTGGAAAGGATCCTTTATTTTTAAGTGTTTTGAAGTACTATGAGAGCAAATAAATCTAGATTATTATTCCATTTCTAGCTATAATTATAAATAATGATATCTGAATATTACACATATTTTTTTAAAATGAAAAGACTATATCTAGGCAATATTGAAAATATTCTTTCAATAAACTAATGATTTGCTTTTTCTAAACAAATTCATCAACAAGCATTCATTTATCCATTCGACTGTTTATTCATGCACTCAACATACGCTATATTGAGCACATAGTATGTGTCAGTACAGAAAGCACGGTTTCTATACTTTAGAATTTTATAATCCAAAAGCAATAGTCTGTGATAGAGTCTGTAATAGTTTTTCTATTGCACATAAATGTTTCCCTTTTCTCCAGAACAAACTTTTTAGTTAATATAACCTAATACTTTAGAATATCTTACACAATCATAGCTATTCATGACAATACTGTCTGTCAATGGCACTATACTACCTAGAATCATTAAGGAATGATAAATTCTATTCAGTATAGCCTCAATGTTTATGTATTTATTATTTTAATATATTTTTTAAAATCTGCATATGATAGTGTAACTTTTAAGTAATCATCTGCACATTCATTATATGAGAATATTCCACTGTGGAAAGAACTCTGAATGAACAAGCTCTTACCATAAAACTGTATATGAATTGAAGTACTACGGACAATTAGTTTACTATAATCTTTACACAAGATAATGTAACACAATCAAGAATACTTGGAAATGCAAACAAAATTAAATTTAATAAACATATCCTTCTCTCTCAGATTATTCCCAACGATATAAAAACATACTCTAAACCTCCCATCTTAAAAAAAGAAAGACACCTCCCTTAAAGTTCACATTCTTCTTCAGTCATAATCCATTTCTCTACTGCTTTTCCAAATAAAAATTCTCTAAGGAGTTGTTTACACTGATTCACTACAGTCTGGCTTCCATGCAACTATTTATTGAAACTGCTCCTTGTCACAGTCACCTGTTCTCATCTTAACCTTTCAACAGCATTTGATATAGTTGAGAATTCTCTTGCGTTGGCCTGTACTCTATATTATGCTGTTTTATTTCCAGAAAAAGTAATGAATGCTAATATTCCTTTACCTAGAAATAAAAAATAGACTTCACCTTCTATCATCCTGATCTATTTCACTTAAACTGCTGTTATCATTCACTTGATATTGACTGCCAGCTAGTGAATCAATCTTCTCAAATACTGGTGTAATCACAGGTTTCTGATGACTAGTTTTCATTTTCATTTTTGTTTTCTTCCTTCATATGCAAGCAAGGGCCACTACTTTTAAAAACCTGTACAAAGCCAATGTTTTCTAATAATTCTACTAATAAAGAATACATTTTTTTAAATAAAATTCCAACACCCATCTTAATTCATTTCTTAATTCACAAAACAGTTATGAAGTACCAATCATATGCAAGGAAATACAGTCCTTACATCAAAGACAGATATACGAGTATAATACAATATAATACTTAAGACCTGACATATGACAAGTTGTAAGTGAACACAAGGAAGCCTTTACAGAAGATGTCAAATAAATAGAGGAAGGCAGCAGGAAAGGTAATGGGAGGAAGCCATTCTACTTAAGATCAGAATGTAAGCACAAAGATTAGGCAAAGAGCATCTAGGTTTTTCCTGGGAACTTGAAAGGAAAAGTATAAAATAATGGAAGAAAGTAGTAAAAGATGGGTCGAGAAAGAAATTTTGAAGAAACTTGCATGCTACAATAAGAAGCTGGAGTTCGTTGCCTAAAAGCAATGACTCCTTGACATGGGAGTAATAATTAGATTCCTGTTGTAAATGATTTTTCAAATACCATGAGGCATATATAACAAAAAGGAAGCATTCAGGGAAATAACATAAGAGGAAAGAAAAAATTACTTTATTTGGAGTGACATCAGCATCATGGCTGAATAAGAAGTCCCTCGTTGTGTACGCACCACTGACAACAACTTGGTATACATTCACAGACAGAAGTGCCTTTGTGGGAGGTGTGGGATCCAGCATCACACAGCAAAGCTTCTAGGAAGAGGCTGTCCAACTCACGCATCCGGTAACAGGCCCGGAGACCACATTCTGACTGTGGAACCTGTATGGGCCATGAATTGACTCCACCCAATCTCAGCAGTGTCTGAAAACCCTTTGAAAACACTGTTTTAGATAATCACCCACAGTCAAGACAGACTTTATGGAAATCCAGTTTCCAGCAAAGCACTTCCAGCACACTGTTGGAGCAAAAAATTACAAGACTGGATGCAGTGGAGAGGGCAGTTATTAAAGAATGGAAGAGAAAAGTGTTACTTCCAATGTAAATCAGCACTGCAAAACACTGAAAATTCAAGGAAACATGACATCAGCAAAGGATCAAAACAATCTTCCAGTAACCAATCCTCAAGGCGTGAAGATACACAATTTACTCCACAAAGAATTCAAAATAGCAGTTTAAAAATAACTCAGTGATATTCTGTGTTCTTGGATTGGAAGAATCAACATAGTTAAAATGACCTTATTACCTAAAGCATTATACAGATTTAATGCAATCCCCATCAAAATCCCATTGGCATTTTTTAAGGAAATAGAACAAAAAGTCAGCAGATCTACATGGAAGCACAAAAGACTCCGAATTGTCAAAGCCATCCTGAGAAAAAGAACAAGGCTAGAGGCATCACTCTGCCCAACTTCAAATTATAGTATAAGCGACAATAATCAAAACGGCATGGTATTGGCAGAAAAACAGACACACAGATCACTGGAATAGAATCAAGAGTCCAAAAGTAAACCCATGTTTACATGGGTAAATAATTTTCAACAAAAGAGCCAAAACATACAGTGGAGAAAAGAAAGCCTCTTCAATAAATGGTGCTGGGAAAACTGGAAAGCCACCTGCAAAAGAATGAAACCGGACTGGTGTCTATCACCACACACCAAAATTAACTCAAAATGGATTAAAGACCTGAATATAAGACCTGAAACAATAAATTTCATAGAAGAAAACAAAGGAACTAAACTCAGGACTTAAAGAGGATTTTATGAATTCGACCTCAAATCAAGGGAAGTATAAGCAAAAATAAATGAATGGGACTACAGTAAATTAAAAGCTTCTGTGCAGCAAAAGAAACTGTCAACAAGGTAAAGAGACAACCATCCGAATGGGAAAATATATTTGCAAGCAACGCCTCCAATAAGGGCCTAATTTCCAAAATATACAAAGAACCCATATGACTCAATAACAACAAAAAAACAAACGACCCAATCAAAAAATGGGAAGAGGACTTGAACAGACATTTCTCCCTAGAGGACATACAAATGGCCAACAAATATATAAAAAGATGCTCAACATTGCTAGCTATTAGAGAAATGCAAA